AAAAMMAAGRARGRGGRGGGCAGACTYCTAATGATTGACCATAACCCTGAAGGTCAAAAACGGAAAACGCTGCTCGGGAAGACTTCCCCTAGCAGGATGCCTAACCCGGACTCCCTCGCGTCGGCCGACGGGACAAGGGCACTACAAAGGAAGAGCAATCAGGAAACGGGGTTGGGCGGGGCGGCAGGGCCAGTCGTGGCTCCTCCTTAAGGAAGGGAAATCAGGAAATGGGGATAGGAAAGGAGGCTATAAAGATAAGCCAACAAAGCTGGGAGCCTAGGGACTACGACTCCGTCGGCCATGGATAGTACGGCTAACCGTCTGCCGATCACGCCAGCAGTAGCACGAGGATGCGAAGGACTTTGGAGCCTTAGGGAAAGAGTGTTGGGATGGTTTGACCCGAAAGGAACTATGAAAACCAAGGAGCGACAGAAAGCCGGCAAGGAAAGTCTGGATAATAGTATGGCAGGCGAGGCCAGCAGCTCCGAGGGCGGCCTTAAGAAGATAGTGTCGTCCCTCGTGCGAGCACTAAACAAAACTCAAGGCTATCTGGCGGACGTCAAGAAAAAGTTGACTTTCGATGGAGCAAACATCACGGAGTTCCTGATCGACTACAAGAACCTAGCTGCGTTACTAAAGTGGATCGAGGAGGAAAAGATGGACCACCTAGAACCTGTCTCTTATACACATCTAGATGTGTATAAGAGACAGATCACGGAGTTCCTGATCGACTACAAGAACCTAGCTGCGTTACTAAAGTGGATCGAGGAGGAAAAGATGGACCACCTAGAACAACACGTGTCGTTAAGCCTAGGACGGGACATAATGGCCATTGTAGCCGCAAGCCGGTTTTGGAAGGAGACCCGGGATGTGATGATGAGGAAGTACCTAGCGACAGAGAAAATGGCAACGGAGGCCGACTTAGCGGCAGTTCAGAGGAAGAACTTCGCAACGTACAATGATTTCCTACAGGAATTTACTCTAGTAGCACTAAGGATCCCCGGGGTCACGGACCGGATAATGAGCAACTATTTCCTCAGGCAGTTCTCCGAGTTCGACAAAGGCAAGATCCTGTCAGCTTACCAACAGACGAGCAAGTTCGTAAACACGCGGGATGTTGATTTTAGCACGGTAACGGATCTGGCTCAGAAAACGGTAGTAACAGAGATGTTGGCCTTGCTCAAGGAAGGAGAGGTCATAGATCTGATCAGTAGGACGGGCGACAAGGTAAAGAAGAGGATTGAAAGTCTACATGAACGGGTGTACGGGGTCGACAATAAGATTGAAAGGATGGAAGGCGCGCTACTGGTTATGCAGGCGCAAGTATCCCGACCTGCCCTCCCTCCCCAGGAAGCTGTGTTTCCGCCAGGTGTAGCAAACCGGGGGTTCAGACGGAGAGATCCTGCTAACGAGCAATGCAAGTACTGTACCGCGATAGGACATTACGTGCGCGCGTGTCCAAAGCTCAACCATGATATTCTGAAAAGAAGGTGTACCAGATCATTAAAGGGGGAGATATTTGGACCACAAGGGGAACGGGTGAACTGGAACTCTCCAGGAGGGATGCGGCGAGCCATTATCATGCTCAACGGGTTAGAAATAACAGTCGTAGAGGCCGAACCGGTGGGCGAATCATCTGGGATCAACTCCGGGGGCGCGGGCCACAGGTCAACTTCATTTTGGAAAGCGACGGGCGGGATAGGGTAAACGCGACTACTCGACTAGGGACGGCTGGGAGAAGGATTATCCGTGACGCTGTAATGGAGGAGGTTGATGGAAGTTCGGAACCGCAGGCGGAGCCTGAGGCCGAGGAAACGGAAAAGGTCTATGGGAAGCCTAGGGAAGAGGAGCCTGCGGACAAGGTTACCGCCGCTAAGAAGAAATTTCGGTATCAACTCCCGATCTTAACCTTGCCTGAGTTGGACGACACCATTAGCAAGTTACTAGCAACCATGGTGTCGGTCTCTTTTCAGACCATGATGCAGGCTAGCCCTAGGTTGCTCAAAGGGCTCAGACAACTGTTGACTCGGAGGCGAGTAGAAATAGGCGACAACCCCGAATTACCAGAAGGGGAGAGGGAGGAGGAAGCTCCGCAAGAAGTGGCTAACCTTCAGAGGAGTCACGGGGACTTGGAGGATCTCGAAAAGGCCTTTGCAGACATTCGTTTGAGCTTGCCCGACCGACAGGGCGGCGAAGTCATGAGATCACCACACGGGACGAAGCTTAGCTTTCATGCGCTGCCCGTAGGGAAACTGAAAATTCAGATCGGCCGGAGAAGTAACCAGCGGTCTCACAAGGGGTCATCCTATGAATTTGGGATAGCAGGAGAAGTAACAGACCTCCTCCAAGCAAAGATGGACTCCCTCGTTGCGGAGCCTATGACATCGCCATACGCAAATCGGTGGTTCGTCTTTCGGAAGCCTAACAAGACACTAAGGTGGATTCAGGACCTGCAGAAGTTGAATGCGGTAACCATCCGGGATGCTGGCTCGCTACCTCAAGCTGACTTATTAGCGGAATCACACGCCGATCGAAGCATTTACTCCCTGATAGATCTGTATTCAGGGTACGACCAGCTTCCGTTGGATGTTCGGGACAGGCCATACACCACTATGCACACCCCCGTAGGCCAACTACAGATGCAAGTGACCCCTATGGGATTCACAAACGAGGTGGCCGAAGCACAACGCAGGATGCTCGCCGTGGCCGGGGACATGTTCCCAGAAAAATGTGAGCCTTACATCGATGACAATTCGATCAAAGGTGCGCAGGAGAAGGACGAGACAGAAGTCCAGCCAGGGATCTGACGTTTTGTGTGGGACCACCTGCAGGACATTAAGGACTTACTCCGCCGGTTCCTAGTATACAACGTTACGGTTAGTGGACCAAAGAGTATCCTAGCAGTACCAGAGGTAACTATACTAGGATTTCGTTGCGGTGCTTACGGCAGGAAGCCGGATCCGGCAAAAACCGACAAGATATCACAGTGGCCGACACCGCTGCGCACGACGACAGAGGTAAGGGCATTCCTAGTCGTAGTCGACTTTTGGAGGATCTTCATTAAGAACTTTGCCAAGATTGTTGAGCCTATCCGGGCTATGATCAGGGAAGAAGGAACCATGGATTGGACGGAGGAGCGAGAATGAGCTGTCCAAAGGCTCAAGGACATATTGACATCTGAGACAGTCGCCCTGTCCGCACCTTGTTTTAATGACGAAGTGGGACGACCCTTCATCCTAGAGACGGATGGAGGACCTTTGGCCGTAGGAGGTGTCTTGATTCAAAGGGATGAGGGAGGAAACGAGAGGCCGATTAGGTTCGAAAGTAGAACCCTGAACTCCGCAGAACGACGGTACTCGCAATTCAATAAGGAAGTCCTAGCAATCCTGCATTGTCTTAAGACCTTTCAGGCCTACCTATTTGGGAGGCGGTTCATCTTAAGGATCGATCCGACGAATGTCGCAGAGGCTCTTAAGAATTACAGGCCTATAGATGCGACGGTAGGGAGATGGGTAGGATTCATCTAGCAGTTCGATTAAAAAGATCGAACGGATTACCGGAATCCGCAACAAGGCAGATGGGCTGAGTCGGGTTTGCATCACTTCCGAAGGGATGGAGGATGCAGAGCCCATAGACGCATTCCTCGAATACGAAGGAGGGACTCTTGCGGTGGATAACGAAATGATGAGCGGGGTATGCACATCGGAAAAACTATTAATCCAGACTTCGGAGAAGGGGGCACCTACCGTAGTAGCAGAACTTAGAGAAGGGTCAGTTACCACTCGAGGACGCAGAGAAGAAAATGACTCATGGGGAGGGATAGTAGGATCGAAAGAGGAACTAATAGCAATGGCAGTCGAGGGAGGCCATGAAGCAGTAATGAGCTTAGTGGAATCTTGGGAAAGGAAAGAGTTGCAATGGGTGGTAAACCAGATGCAGGAAGGAAAGGATGGTGGCAAGGAAGGAGAGGAGTTTTTCTATGTCCAATCATATGAAGGGCTCTTTCGGGAGATCGGACTGTTATTGGTAGGAAACAAACAACCTGCGGAAGTCAGTATTAAAGCAAGAGAAGAAGCCGAAAGGTACGTCCTAAGGGGCGGGCATTTGTTCTGAAGGGAGGGAGGTGCTATGCCGAGAAGGGTTGTGTGCGGAAGGTCTAGACAAGTAGACGTTATCCAAGCAATGCACGATGGGTTGGCTGGAGGTTATCGGTCGTCCAAAGGAACGCTTGCAAAAATGACGCCACTCTATTACTGGTCAGGCATGGCAGGCATGGTCGCCATATACTGCCAGACTTGCCTTATTTGCCAAGAACGAAGCTCGGTGCGGGTCTTCGAGCCGCTTAGACCAACGCGGGTGCTAGGGACGGGGCATCTGGTCCACCTCGACCTTGCGGTCATGCCTGTATCAACGGATGGGTACAAGTATATCCTGAATGCGCGAGACAACCTGAGTGGGTTCGTGGAGGCAGTCGCCCTCAAGAAAAAGACAGGGAGGATTGTGGCGGACTGGATAAAAGACTTCTACTCGAGGCATCCGTTCGTCAGGAGGTTTATAGCAGACAATGGGACGGAGTTTGTGAACCAAGAAGTATTGGGGATGCTTAAGAGACTCTGCGTACCGATCCAAGTCATCGAGCCATATCACCCTGAGGCCAATGCACCTGTGGAAAGAGGGCACCGAACCTTGAAGAACACGATTGCAAAGCTCGCAGCGGACCATCTAGGAAACAGGCCTAGGTATCTTAAGCAGACTATCTTTGCAGAGAATATGACCCCTAAAAAGACAACAGGATGTATTCCGGCAGAGCTCTGGTACGGAAGAGAGATCGACTTTCCTGTGGAAGCCTTGGTACCTACCTGGAATAGGATAGATGATGATCCGCAAATGACCACTGAGGAGTTAATCGAGGCAAGATGTCAACAAATCCTTAAGAATGAGGAGGTCGTGGAAGACATCGCCAACCGGGTACTAGACAACAGAATGAGGGACAAAGCAAGGTGGGACCAGGTTAAGAATATCAGAAAGGAGCCACTTCAAGTGGGGGAGATGGTATTGCTAAGGAACTTGGCACTAGARAGTACTTGGTCAGGACAGCTGGGAAGGAGGTTCAAAGGCCCCTACCGGGTCACCAAGCGGGTGGGACTGAACACCTTCGAACTGGAAGATTTGGATGGAACTGGATTGAAAGGGCCCTTCCTGGGGCAACGATTGGTCAGGTTTCTAAGTCGGGAGTCAGTGGAACAATGGCTTCAGGAGGCCGAAGATAAGGAAACTGAGGAGCCACAAGCTAAAGACTGACCACAGCCTTGCCCACACTATGGTTTGTCTCTGGCCATGTTCATGGGACTGTCATTTTCTTGGGACTGACGCTTTGGCTTGGACTGACTGGGGTTGAAAGGCAGCATGACTTGGAGGTTTGTAATATCTGGCTTCTGTGACAACGGGAAGGGATGTCTGGGGCATTGTACCATAGTTTTTGACGGGAAAAAAATGGGGTCATCACAAACGACGCATTCGCATGTATAATAGGGGTATGCTGCGAAGGATGTTGGAAGCATTCGGGAAAAAAGGGGGGGATTACCTACCAAACTGGGAGAATGGGTGCATAAGGGGCTTTGCGGGTGTTATTTGTTATACAGGGTCTAAAAGAAATGAGAAGATGGAGTTCGGTGACGAAAATGACAGCGGGGCAATCAACAGGCCTACCGGAGGGGAGGAAGCAGGACCAAGCCAAGGGAGGAGAGTGGCAAAGAGAAAGTTGTATATAAGACTCATGGGTGGCCCGGTGGTAGGCAGGGGAGGAAGAAAATGCTTGTGTAGGAAACCGTCACCCCTCCGCGAGGGAGAAGGTATAGAAATCTCGTCTGACAGTGAGGGAAGGAAGGAAAAGGCAGAAGTTGAAGAGGGAGGCAACACAGAGATGGGAAACAAGGTTCAGGTCTCTGACGAGGAAGGGGTCAACAGGGGCAAGCGGCGTGAGACTTGGCATGGGGAGAGCGAGGGGGGACAAGACATGCGCGACGAATATGAGGAGGGTGAGGAAAGAAGGGAGAGCTCGCTTGAAGGACGAAGCGGCCACGACAGTTGCGAGGGGTATGGAACGGGGACAAAGATTCCTTTTACCTATGATCCAAAGAACCTTGCGGGTGAATATAGCCCCATACAGACAAAAGACGAGGAGGACGAGGAAGGGGATGTGCGAGAAGGGGTGTGATCATAGAAATCAGCAGCGGGGATGAGAGAGATGAGATCTCGAGGCCAAGGGAAGAGGGGCAGCCTCCGATGCACCAGCCGGGCGACGGGGCTTTTAGATGGGAGGATGAGTTTGGGCCAACGCCCAGTCATTGGTTTCAGCAATGGACCAATGTGATCAGGCACGAATGAATTATCAAGACTCGAGAACTCGCAAGGGCAGGAGTGGAAGTCACACCACTGGATTTTTTTAATGAGGCAGAGTTACGAAAAATTGTAAGGATGAAAAGAGAAATCGGGACCTACGGCCTAGGGGTTAGAAGGCCTGCCAAGGAACAGGGTGGACAAGGAACTGGGCAAGACGAGGCGCAAGGCAGCAATCGGAACTAGGTGTTGACTTAGCACTGAAAAGGATCGCCATTTTCTGTCTGCGGAAACTTGAGAATGACGAAAACGTGTACAGTATGGGCAAGCTTGCCAAGGATGAAGTGAAAAGAGGGTCAGCTAAGGCTGTGTCACGATAAGATAGAAGATAGTTTTGAGGCTACTTTTGATGAGCTACCTTGGGTACATAAGACAAAGACATGAGAATTGGGATGAGACCAATTGGGAGAGGGTGTATTGTGAATTCTGGATGAAATAAGGATTAAGCTTTCGAGAGGGGAAAACCTTGAGTACGAATTAACGAGCGAACCATGACATTGAATGATTGGTCGAGTACAAGAGAGGTTAGGGAACCTATGGGTTAAGGGGCGTGAAGAACACTCCTTCCCTAGGAGCCTAATCCAACTCAGACATGAATTAGTCTGAGAATGGTCAAGATCTGAGTTGTCGGAACGAGTGAAGAAAAAAGGGGGCGCCCCTGTCTCTTACAGTGGTTGAACGACCGGGTGAGTTAGTGCTGCTTGGGGTCGCGAGCCCCAACTCGAGTGCTAGACGCTAAGTCGGATGTATGCATGGATAGTACATTACTGAGAGAAATGAAATGGATGGTACGTTACTGTGAGAAATGGAATAGATAGTACATTACTGTGAGAGAAGGAAGAAAAAGAACAACACGCAAAAGATGAGATGGTCACCTTCTAACCTCCAAGACAGAAATGGGATCCGTAACCTCGAGGCCCACCCCCTCAAGCGCTAACATTGAATGGAAAGGAATGACCCTAACCAGGCTGCTCGACTTGAGAATGGAAAGGAATGGCCCTAATCAGGCTGTTCGACTTGAGAATGGAAAAGAATGGCCCTAACCAGGCTGTTCAACTTGAGAATGGAAAGGAACGGCCCTAACCAGGCTGTTCGACTTGAGAATGGAAAAGAACGACCCTAACCAGGTTGTTCAGGAATGGCCCCTGACAAGGGTCATTCCTCTTGAAATAGGTACTGGGGTCCCCTGCATATTTGATTGAGAAAGGTTGATTGAGAATGTGCTGGAATGAGCAATAAGTGATGGAAAAGGCCGATGGGACGGTCATTGAAATAGCCAAMGGGATGAGAGAAATGGAAAAGGTCGGCGGGTCGGTCATTGAAATAGCTAATGGGATGAATGGAAGAGATGGAAAAGGCCGGTGGGTCGGTCATTGAAATAGCCAAAGGGATGGACGGGAGAGATGGACAAGGCCGGTGGGTCGGCCGCTGAAATAGTCAAGAGGGCGGAAGAAAG